TTATTGGCTCCGTATACAGATTGCGTAAGTAAGGTAAAAGGATATACCCATGCCTTACAACTTTCCTGATTTTAAACCATACTCTTTGATCTGTTGGAACCACTGCCTCTTGGTCTAGGTACAGGTTCTATATGAGCACAATTAAGTGCTCTGGAATTCCCATTCTTTGCAATGTTATTCGTAATTTGTTATGATCCTCAGTCAAATTTCTTTGCATAGTTAAGAAAACACAAGTAAACACCTTTCTGGTATTCTTTGCTTTCAGCCAACACCCATCTGACATCAGCAATGATATCCCTCATTCCACACCCTCTCTGAATCTGGCTTGAATTTCTGCCATTTCCCTGTCAATATACTGCTAAAACCATTTTTAGTTATCTATAGCAAAATTTCACTTTGTGTGAGTTTAATGATACTGTTGATAATTTCTGCATCCCGTTGGATCACCTTTCTTTAGAATGGTCACAGATAAGGATCTCTTCCAGCCCATTAGCCAGGAAGCTTTCTTCCAAATTTCTTGGCATAAATGAGTGGGCACCTCCAGTGTGCATCTATTTGTTGAAACATCTCAGTGGCTATTCTGTCAACTCCTGGAGTCTTGTTTTCATTTGTTCTTGGTCATATGCTACCTCCTGAACTAGATGAACATTAACCAATTCTCTTTGACACAGTGACTCTGTACCATCTATTTTAATGCTTCCTGCATCATTCAATGTTTTGCCTTTAGAATCCTTCAGTATTGCAACTTGAGGCTTGAATTTTTAACTCTGTTCTTTCAGCTTGAGAAATGCTAAGTGTGTTCTTCCCTTTTGATTTTCTAACTCTAATCTAGGTCTTTGTACATTTCACTATAATATTTTATCTTTTCAAGCTGCCCTTTTTACCTTTTGTTTAGCTCTTTTACATAATCTTTTATTTCATTTGTTTTAGTTATTCTCCATTTAGAAGCAAGTTTCAGAGGCTATTCTCACATTCATTTTGTTCTTTTCATCCTTTCCTCTGTTTTTAATGACCTCCTTTCTTCATGTATGATGTCCTTGATTTCACCCCACAATCCATCTGGTCTTTGGTCACTGGTGGTCAATGCATTAAATCTATTCTTCAGATGGTCTCTAAATTCAAGTGGGATATATACTCAAGGTTGTAGCTTTTTTTTTTAATTGTGATTTGGCTGAACGTTTACAGAGTGTATCTTGGCTCTTGTGGACTTGTTTTAATTTTTCTTCAGCTTCTACTTAAACTTGCATATGAGCAAGTGATGGTCCGTTCCACAATCAGTCCTGGGTCTTGTTGTGACTGATGGTCAGAGGATGGTAGAAGGGAGTAAAAATATTTTCTTCCAGACTTTTTCCTTTTCTCATTGCTACATTTTAGTCCTAATCATAACACAGCATCATTTCTGAAATAAAAATTCAGGTATCTCACTCTGAAGACAATCTTCCCTCATTCTAGACCTCTCATTTAATGATATCTAGCCACTCCACAGAAGGAAGACAGGGCAATCTACTTCCATAAAGATTTACCGCCTTGGAAACCTAATGGGGGTCACCACTATGAGTCTGAATCAACTCAAGGGTGGTGGGTTTTTTTTTTTCCCCCCAGTGAGTCTGTTCCTCAACTTTCCTGAGGCTTGCCAGGCACCACAGCTTTCCATTTCTCACTGTTTTTCAGTCATAACCTGTAATTCTTACATTCACTTTATTTTCTACTTTGCTTAGACTGTATAGTAAACACTTATTGGTTTTGCCCATCTAAAGTTTACTTCTCACTCTTCTACTAACAACATCTTGATCCTGAATTTCGAGAAAATTTCCTCTCTACTTAAGGAGTATATGATTCATAATTCCTTTAATCTATTTGATTTAGCCTAGAATTAATATCTAGCTTAGATTTCATGACCTATTACTTTGATGACTTCTGCCAATATTATCAACTCTCTACTTACCTCATTACTTTTCCATGGTAAAACTCAATTCAAGATCAATCCAACTATCTGCCTCTTCAGACCATAAAACCAATTGAGAGAGTAAAAAAATACTAAAATCAAACTGATGTCACTATTAATATGTATTTTTCAATTTCAAACTGGGCCTTTGTTCTGGTTACTTAGTGCCACTCTGACAGGAATATACCACAAATAGGATGGCTTGATGAAACAGGAGTTTATTCTCTTACAGTTTAGAGGCTTTAAGTCTGAGTTCAAAGTGCCAGGCTCCAGGGGCTGGATGAAAGCCCCTCAACCTTTTGGGCTTTAACTCTGCCTCTTGCTCCCAGCCCACTAAAGCTAGAGGCATCTCTTCACTCATGCAGCTTACTGGCTGCTAACAAGCCCAAGGCTAACAAATAAAATGGCACAGTCCTGATGTTACCAAACCACATGGCAGGCCATTGATTCAAGTCCACGGATCAGAAGAGCATGGCAGGCTGTGAACAACAACTTGGCTACATGCAGGGTCCAAGTGTGCCATGAGCTAGAGATCATTCCCAAAGCTATTTCTTATATACAGGAAGCAGACCACATACCCAAAGGCAGCTACTCAGCTGCTCACAGTAGATTCCACCATGGAGTTGATTACCAGTCTCATCATGGGGAATAACTGCCACCAGTTGCCCAGCTACTCAATCAGGCCTAGCCAAGTTGACACACAAACTTAACCACAAAAGCCTTCAAATCTCCTTGAAGAGTACAGTTATGCAGAATTACTTAGAAGTCTCTTAGTCTCTTAGAAGAGTCTCTTCTCTTAGAAGTCTCTTTAGCAATTATTCTCATTCAAATATCATTCCTCCATTTCTTCATCAGAAAATCTTGCCCCACAGTAAGAATTTCTCCAATTTCTTATGCCCTAACCTACAAAATTAACAACATACATTTCCATCCTGTCCTGCTTCATTTCTCTTACAACCTAAGGGTCACTCTTCCTGTTCCAGGCTAATCTCTTCATTTGTGCTCTCAGTCTAGTTTCTTCTCACCTGCCCAGGGACCCTGTTCCATTTATTATCAATCCTCTTATTTAACTATATCTCAATCTCTACCCTTCTTTCTTATAGCTTCTTCCTGTTGTTGTTGTTACGTGCTGTTGAGTCATCTTCAACTCATAGCAACCCCTCCTTGGGTTTCCAAGGCGGTATTCTCTACAGAAGTAGATTGCCCGATCTTCCTTCCGAGGAGTGTCTGGTGGGTTGGAACCGCCAGCCTTCTGGTTAGCAGTCATGTGCCTTAGGCATTACTCCACCAGAGCTCCTATGGTTTCTTCCTATTAGCATTTAAGTAGTTAAGACTATCATCTACTTGAACAGATATTTATCCAAATAAGACATACAAACGGCCAACAAGTACATGAAAAGATGCTCAACATCATTAGTCAGGGAAATGTAAATGAAAATCACAATGAGATACCACTTCACACCCACTACACTGGCTATAATTTTTCAAAAAGAAAAGTAATAAGCATTGCAAGGATGTAGAGAAACTGGAAAGCTCATTCACTGTGAGTGAGAATGTAAAATAGTATAGTCGCTGTGGTAAATAGACTGGTGATTCCTCAGTAAGTTAAACACAGAGGTTTTATATGGACATGGCAATTCTACTCCTTTTGAAAATATACTCAAAGGTACATATTCAAAATAAGTGAAAACAGGTGTTCAAACAAAAACTTGTACACAGATGTTCATAGAAGCACTATCTACAATAGCTAAAAGGGGGAAATAACCCAAATGTTCTTCAACTGCAGAATGGAAAAACAAACTGTGGTTTATTTCTGGGCCTCCATACCAGCCCAGAACCACGTAAGAAGAAATTAAACTTACATCTTGCTTGGGTGACTATCATTTTGATATTTTAACAATCAAAGATAAACCTGATCTTAAATGATACAAAAGAGTACATAATGTTTTTAAAAGATACATCTATTTATACTTCTATCATCAATATTGATTTATAAACTGATCTTTGAAAAAGCTTTGTTCTGAAAGAATTTAAAAAAATATTTTAATTCACATTATCAATTTTTACATTTGACTTTTGTATTTTCTTTCTCTGTTGGTTGTGTATTCATGTTTTATATGCAATTTTCTATTTCCTTCTGTTGCTTTTATGATTAAAAATGTTACCTACCTGAGATTACCTACCTATTAATCTATTTTTATTTTTATAGCTTTATGTTCTACATTTAATATAATAATTCACTTACATATTGGTTTGGGTATGACAGAACTGAAGAGCCATTTTCTGCCAAACAGGAAACCAATAGTTATAAGAATAGTTGTAAGACTTTGTGATATATTGCCTCATAATAGTGTGAGGCAGACTACTGGTTTAAGACAGATATTATTTATAATGGTTTTAGGCATTAGTCTACTATTTCTAGTTCACTAATTTTTTAAAATTAGGACTAATTATTGAACATCTATCCTATAAGGAAGACTTAAGAAGAACTGATCCCTCTGAATTATGGAATTGGTGAAGAATATTGACCGTCAGAAGGATGAATAAATCTGTCTTGGAAGATGTATAGTCAGAATGCTCTTTAGAAGTGAGGATGGTGAGACTTCATCTCATGTACTCTGGACACGTTATCAGGTGGGATCAGTCCCTGGAGAAGGACATAATGCTTGGTGAAGTAGAGGGGCAGTGAAAAACAGGAAGACCCACAACAACACAGGGGCTGCAACAATACGCAAACACAGCAAAGACTGTTAGGATGACGCATGAACAGGCAGTGTTTTGTTCTGTTGTACGCAGGGTTGCTATGAGTCAGAACCAACTCAATGGCACCTAACAATAACTGTAAGATAAGTGGTTAAGATTTAAATAAAAATGAGAAATTTAAGTAAGTATAATTTTAAAAATAATAATTTAAAACCCTATAATGTAAGTTTAAAGAAAAAATTAGGTAAAAATGAGTAGTAGAATCATTTTAAAATTTCTACTTCTATTATTTAAACTCACGTTTGCTCCTTTAATTTTTCACAAACTTTGAGTACAAAAAGGTTTTACTTACCTCTTGAATGGCTGTCATGACAACATGTTGAACTGATTCTTCCATCATCATAATGGCTTGGATATACTCTGTAAACAAGAACAATCTGGAATGTCACTGTTCAAGTTAAAGACAGTCAAGGGAGTAAACGCTAACACTTCACAAATTCTTGTAATTTTTGTGTTTTGAGTCCTACTAGGAATATCTTATATTTGGTTAATTCTATGTGCTATAGGTAAAGTACAGGCTGAAAATCACATTACTTGTCTTTCCTTACAAGAATCTCCTCCCCTTCATTATTCTTTATCAATTAAGTGAAGGCTACAGCTAAAGGTTACAGTAACACATTATCAGCTTGTATGTCGATGTAAAAAAAAAAAAAGAGATAGCAACTAAAAATGTCTTTCACATTATTCTTTTCTACGTTTTGAAAAACAAACCCTCCAGCCACTCTTTTCAAGAAAGATGGGGCCATCTACTTCTGTAATGATTTACTACCTCAGAAACCCAACGGGGGCTGCTATGAGTCAGGATTGACTTGATGGCAGTAAGTCTGGTTTATGTATTAAAAAGTCTGAAATCTTTGCTTTATTCTTATGTGGCATTAAAGGATTGAAGTGCATGTAATTTCTACTGTAATATTTCTTACTACAGAAAAGAAAAAACTTAATGAATCTGATAGCTGTTTAGAATAAATAATTAAGATGAGGTTAAGATAAAAGTTGATATCATTGTCAAATGAGTATTGTAAAATCCTGGGCTTTTCTCCAACAAGCTAATGCAACAATTTCATCAATCTCAGCCTCCTCACACTTTCAGTTGTTAGATGTGACAAAGCTGAAAATATGATTTCTTGCCTTCTAAAAAATTTTAGGTTCAGTTTCCAGTATTTTCAAATCCAACAACGGATGACAAAAGTGGCATTAAATATAAAAACCAATAAGCCCGCCAGATTTCAACTAACTTGTTGCTGTTGTTAGGTGCCATCATGTTGTCTCCAACTCATAGCGACCTCATGTACAACAGAACGAAACAATGCCCAGTCCTGTGCCAGCCTCACAATCCCTGCTATACTTGAGCCCATCACTGCAGCCACTGTGTCAATCCATCTTGTTGAGGGCTTTCCCCTTTTTCATTGACCTTCCACCTTACCAAGCATGATGTCCTTCTCCAAGGAATGGTCCCTTCTGACAACATGACCAAAGTAGGTCAGGCGAAGTCTGGCCTGAGAATTCTCACTTCCAAGGAGCACTCCAGCTGCACTTCTTCTAAGACAGATTTGTTAGCTCTTTCAGCAGTCTATAGTACTTTCAGTATTCTTTGCCACCATCACAACTCAAAAGCATCAACTCTTCTTCAGTCTTCCTAATTCATGTCCAGCTCTCACATGCATATGAGGTGACTGAAAATACCAAAATACCATGGCTTGGGTCAGGCACACCTTAGTCTTCAAGTAGACATCTTTGCTCTTCAGAACTTGAAAGAGGTCTTTTGCAGCAGATATGCCCAATGCAATATGTCACCTGATGTCCTGACTGCTGCTTCCATTGGTGGTGATTGTAGAACTAAGTAATATAAAGTCCTTGACAACTTCAATCTTTTCTCCATTTATTGTGATGCTGCTTATTGGTCCAGTTGTGAGGATTTCTGTTTTCTTTATATTAAGATGTAATCCATACTGCAGACTGTAGTCTTCAATCTTCATCAGTAAGTGCTTCAAGTCATCCTCACTTTCAGCAAGCAAAGCTGTGTCGTCTGCGTATTGCAGGTTGTTAATGAGCCTGCCTCGAATCCTGATGCCATGTTCTTCTTCATACAGTCCAGGTTCTTGGATTATTGGCTCAGCATACCAATTGAGTAAGTATGGTGAAAGGATACAACCCTGACACACTCCCTTCCTGATATTAAACCATGCAGGATAACCTTTTTATGTTCTAATGACAGCCTCCTGGTCTATGTACAAGTTCCTCATGAGTACAATTAAGTGTTCTGGAATTCCCATTCTTATCAATGTTATTCATAATTTGTTATGATCCACACAATTGAATGCTTCTGCACAGTCAATAAAACACAAGTAAATATCTTTTTGGTATTCCTTGCTTTCAGCCAAGATCCATCTGATATAAGCAATGATATCCCCCTTGTTCCACGTCCTCTTCTGAATCCAGCCTGCATTTCTGGAAGTTCTCTGTCAATATACTGCTGCAAGTGTTTTAGAATTATTTTCAATAAGATTTTACTCACATGTGATATTCATAATATTGTTTGCTAATTTCCACATTCTGTGGGATCACCTTTCTTTAGAATGAGTATATATATGGATCTCTTCCAGTCAATTGGCTAAGTAGCTGTCTTCCAAATATCTTGGCATAGCCAAGTGAGTGCCTCCAGAGGGACATACATTTGTTAAACCATCTCAATGGGTATTCCATCATTTCCTGGAGCCTTTTTCTTTGCCAATTTCTTCAGTGCAGCTTCAATTTCTTCCTTCAATACTATTGGTTCTTGATCATGTGCCACCTCCTGAAATGGATGAACATCAACCAATTCTTTTTGGTACAGTGACTCCATGTATTCCTTCCATCTTTTTTTGATGTTTCCTGCATCATTCAATGTTTTGGCCATAGAATCTTTCAAGATTCCAATGTGAGGCTGAAGTTCTTTCTTCAGTTCTTTCAGCTTGAGATATGTTGAGTGTGTTCTTCCCTTTTGGTTTTCTAACTCCAGTCTTTGCACATTTCATTACAGTAATTGGCTTTGTCTGCTCGAGCTGCTCTTTGAAATCTTCTGTTC